TGATTAAAACAGTGTAGTCCCACTTTCCTCTTTAAGTTGCCTAGAGGCTGTTTAAACAAACCACTGCAGTGCATGGGCACCAAAAAGCATCGCTTTATTAGATGGAACAAGACATGTTTATATATCAACGGATATACCTCGATCCATAGGAATATATGCCAAAAACAAACCTCATTATTATGAAGGTTTCGATAGTAGATTGCTGGTTCACAACTACGCTTTTCTGTCGCTTCTCTGGATGAACGCAGAATAGCATACGGTCTCCCGTATCTTCTTGCAGCCTGGACTACATCTGTTGGTGTTCGAATACGTGTTTTTTCGACCCAGCAAGTAGTGCTATTTTGCTCCCCACTGCAGATGCTAAAATACCGTTGGGCCGTGGCCTGGAGACAGTCGGTGCAACTACGCCGCGTCGATTCACAGGAGTATCGAAAACTGGCGGATTTGCTAGCAAATCCGTAAGACAGCTATGATTTGGCCAGATTGTGTCAATTTTGATCATCGAAGTTGAAAAAAATATTTTCTTAATTTCCAGTTGTCATCATTAAACTTGTCGTATCAGATGTTCTGTTCATCTATATCGTGAGCTGTCATTCTCTGGCCGAAAGGAAGACGACGCAGCGAAAAACCTTTCACATACTTCCTTCGGGGAGAGATGAGAAGGGTGGGAGGGTTATCGAGATACTGATATCCTCTATGAGTGGTCTCCAGATCTTCTCTTTGGATTTGAAATCACCAGAATGCTCTCACAGACACATTCGCCTCAGATACATAAGAAGCCCTTTTAAGGAAGGTAACCACAGCTGACCGTTTTTGGGTTCGCGGTTATCGCAATGATTCGGAAGTATACAGTTCAGCACTCGATCGTGATTCGTCCTGCCACGTGGTCTTGTTCCTTGATTGTCGTCTTCTCGTCGAGAAGGGGCGCTGAGGATTTACTATGGATAGCCCTGTTACCATCTTTGAATAACAGGAAAAAAGAGGAAGACGTATGAATCGGTAAGAGCATACAAAATTGCGATACCGTTGCTCAAGTGAAGAAATTGAATTGGCAATGAGTAAGAGAAACCATCGTTGTTAAACCAGAGACGTTAGACTCGGTTTCAAGAGGGAATAAGCGTCCCGCAGAAAGTTCTCCAGCTCGATGATAAGAGAGTTGCAGAAGTTCGCTGGATCAGAATGAATAAGAATCACAGAAACAGAAGTTTATTGCAAAATCGTGAAGGACTTCTTCCAGTAGTGGATCGAAAAAGACAGATGATGATGGAGATGAACCCGGCACACGTCCTCCGCGTCTCCAGAGAATTTCACGTCGAGAGCGCGGTCGAAAATGGGATTCATTACTCATGGCTTTGTCCGAATGCCCCCGCCGCAGAGGCAGCGAATTTTCGAAAAAGCCGTACTTTCAGCATTCAACTGACAGGTGTTTGAATTGAGTCCAAAAATGACCGATTAGCAAATCAGCTTCGAGGCGGTGCCTCGCGCATTCAACCTCGACGCCTCTTCGCCCAAAAAGCCGCCGACGAGTGCACTTTTTCCCACGGTCGGACATATGCGAATATAAATGTACTTTGAGGCTGTTGCAGAATGCTGCATGCGACGAAAATGAAGCGTCGTCCATAAAATAATAAGGTAGAAATCGATATCCATCGATCCGTCTTTCGGCTTTCGATCGATGCGACAACGGCAGCCGTCTTACTAACAACTCTTAATGAAGGTCGTTTAAAAACGAACGCGGCTTCCCTTTGCAGTCGATGGCTGTTATTGAAAACGCCCCCCCCCCACCGCCGCCGCTCTGATTTTGGACAGCAGATCATTTACGTTTGATTTAGCATAAGCCTCAAGATTGAAGACTGACTACCAATCAACCTATGTAATAATTTGATACACGAATTCTAACCTGAGAACCTATCGATGCCCTGACGCTCATGAAACCCCTCGCGCAACAGGCCCATTGAAACTGCAGCGTAAACGTGTGAGTTAAAAAAAACAACTTGAGTTATGACCGACGGTCATAGTGATGACAGAGAGCACGAGGGGATCATTGCCGGCCATGGCCCAGGTTGCTCCTCTACATCGTTTATAAACGATTAGGCGAGGTAGATCCCTTAAAGTGGTTCGAAGCAATTGCCAGCGACTGCTGAGGACTATGGAATTTCAGCTGGACTGCGATTAAAAGCCATATGCCTTGAACAGGTCTCGATGCTGCAGTTGGATCATGGCATGTGCTTCTGATATAGATAAGGTCGACATTTCCTATGTTTCCAAACAGTATTCCTGAATATTGAGCCAGAGACTTTTATCTGCTCTCATGTAGAACAAAAAAGCACTTTTTACTCTGACAAATTATGTTATACTGGTTAAGGAAATTATGCTTAAAAAGCAGCGTGCAAGTAGCTGTGATGACGGTGAGAATGACAGTGAAGGTCATTCTCCGTTTCAAGGAATGACACTTTAATATGCAAGTCTGGGAAGCATTATTCTACAAGATTTTTTCAGTTTTGACTATCGTCGTGCTGCCGGCACAGTAATGTAATGCACTTCAGGAGGTCTACCAATTAAAATATCTCGGCTCCATCATTTCTAGCGATAACACCATCCAGTCACAGTTAAAGAGGAGGATCGTCTTCGCCTCCAATTATGCTGGTAACCTGCTAATATGTGGGGTCAAGACACGTACTTCTTTCCAGAAAATTCGAGTACAAATGCAGCTGCGTTAACGTCGACGCCAGATGAGGACTAAATGGCAGGACTACGTAAGAAGTGACTCTCTGAGCACGCGGTGATTTTAGCCGATGTCCAGATTAACACATAGAAGTTGGCCTTGTTAGACAATCTGTTGGAGCATTCACCGTTTACTACAGCTCATGGCTTTCTGTGTACGAGCAGAAACACGGCAGATGTAGCCTAGGAGGCAAGCGATGTGTAAGCAGAGGTGCATTCAGAACGAACCTATTTTTTCAACGATACAGTAACCGGTGCCAAAATTCTGCAAGTATTACACAAGTGGTGCAAAGCCACGAATACACTGGACATCTCAGACGTTCTGCCTATAAGAACAGCTTACGGGGATGATCGCAGCAAACACAAAACAGTCGTACAGGTGCAAAGAAAATTATTTTCTGTTTTAGTCTCTGATATCATTTGACAAAGAATTTTTCAAATCTTCCTTTGGTTTCGCCCATCAGTCACTATTCTTCGTTAACATACCAAGTAATATGGTGAAAATATTTCTCCATGCTTCATTGGAGCTTCATACGAATGGAGCTACTCTCTTTTCCTTAAATCCTTCCATTATGGTTTATGGTACCTCTCTAACACACGGAATGCAGATAAATGCGAACCTGACTCTCACTGTTTCGTCAGCCGACCATTCCAAGACTCAGGACATGACATGATTTCATGTTCTCAAAAAACATACTGTACGTAACCTGTCATTGCCTACTCCCCTTCCCGGGTAAGCATCAAGGCAGAATTGGTACAGAGCAGACACAAGACTGACACTCCGAAATGTGTTTCCTTTGCGAAATTATCAACTCTGGTCACTTCATGAGGAAACCTCTATTGAACTGAATGAATGAATGAATGAATGAATGAATGAATGAATGAATGAATGAAT